AAATTTGTTTTAGTATTCTTGTTTTTGCCCAAACTAGATTAGACAGATTATATTTCTGTCGGTTATGTGGTATTAAATTTTACAGTAGATTTTATTATTTAGTATCATTTTCTATGTGGCAGACGGGTTTTCTTGGAAAATATGTGACAAACTCATAGGTGTGTGCTTCGACTTATGAAAGTTATGTATACAAATACATGCCGTTGTTGCATCTTAGTGGCACGATATTCGCTATTTATAGGATGAGTTGCATAGGTATCCAACCAATGCAGCAAATTAGTGTTGTAGAGTCTACAAAAAAGTATGTCTATAGCGACAACAGTCTTTTTGATTGGTACTGCAATCGCTCTTTGGTTGGATATTGGTGCAATATTACCTATTGATAAATCCCTAGCTTTAGGTCTTTATTAATTTTATTCAATTGTGAAATAACACGACGTGTCTATTTTGATAATAGTGGCTTGAAAGCGAATCATCTCTTCATACATCTATTCAATTCTGAATTTCGTTCAAATATATGAATTGTGCTAAAGATTCAAAACCTATTTTCATCTTAATGAAAAAAAATAAAAGACGAAAAAACATCCAATAGATTTAAAACTTTTTTTTTTTTTTTTTCTGTAAATCAATTGTGAAATGTTTTCTCTAGAATGAACAATATATGTTCTATATTTTCTAGGCGCAAATGTTCGATTTTCATGAGATCTCATTGTTGGTGAAATTGAAGCATATGATATGAGTTGGATAAAAATATTAATGTTTTAAACGAAAAATCGTTCAAAGATAAGTGATCTCGTCATTTACCCTACAAGTTTCTATAGTTGATGAAGGGCAACTGGAAATGATCATATCTTTTGGAGGAATTGTAGGCCAGAAATTGGCTTAAAGAACAAAATTAAAGCTGTTCGTCTGCCTTTTCTTAACACCCTCCCAATGAATATTTCAGTAAAGATTTCTTTCGGTGCAGCTGAACCCATGGATCCTGTTCGAAGCTGATAATTAACTATTAACAAAATGATAACCATCTCTGCCGTTCATAGTCGACCGCTTTCTGCAGCCAAAAATGTATCCGCCCATATTTATAAACGATTTATGATTAAAAATAATGATAGTGAATCCAATTAAATGTATTAATTATAATGATTAATAGTTAAGAATGTACGTTAAAATTAATATTTGATTTTGATTTACAATTATAATCAAAACTTATTTTGACTCTAAAATCTCTCCACCGCCTTCCAAATTCACACCCATGTGACAAGAATTTTGAACTTTTTTTAGTGATGAGAAGCAAAGGAAAAGAGAAAAGGAGTTGGCCTAGAAACAATTGTAGGCATCCATGGATATAGATTTCTCAATTCTCCCAAGTTTTTACCATAGAAGCTACCAGTCCAGATGCAGAGAGACTGGGATCACACGTCGTAATTTATAAAAACTCTTGCGTAAAAACCGAGCCACCGTACTATTAGTACATGTTCCTTTGTAGCTAACCAACCGCCCGAACGCCAACCTCTTATCTCTAGTCTCTACAGCTTTCTTTCTTTATTTACTTATCTGGCTCCTTCGTCATTAGTCTTTTGGTTATATATACAGTATAATTGTTACTTCTCCACTGCTTTTTTCTTTTGCTATGGCACCCCCAAATGATCCTGCCAACTCAATCTTCCATGTCCTCAAATCCTGCGAAAGACATATCCTCTTCGAACTTGTTGATGGCAAGCTTTGTGTGACAAATGTGCCTCTTCTCACTGAAATTCAAGCATTACCACCTTTAAAAGTTTTTCTTCAATATGCCAATCCTCTGATGCTCCCCTTCCACTGTTTGAGCTTGTCCAATCCCTGTCTTTCAAGGGAGGATTCCTTGGATTCAGCAAGGATGAATCTTCTGACAGGCTAATAAACTCCCTGGGGAAATTTGGTGGAAGGGATTTTCTCAGCATTTTCAGGTTCAAAACATGGTGGTCCATCTCGATATATTCAGACTTTTGGAAGAAATATCAGTTCCATCACTAATAAATAAATTTGGTTGGTGCACTTGGGATGCATTTTACTTAACTGTAGAACCAACTGGAATCTGGCGTGGGGTGAAATAGTTCTCGGATGGCAGGCTCTTCCCGAGGTTTCTCATCATTGATGATGGCTGGCAAAGTATCAACTTTGAGGGAGAAAATCCAAATGAGAACGTGAAAAGTCTTATTGTTGGAACTATTCAAGCGATTGCCAGGCTTCACAGGTTTGATGAATGTGAAAAATTCAGGAAGTACAAGGGTGGATCCCTGTTGGGGTATAATAGTCCTCCATTCGATCCCAAGAAGCCAGAGATGTTGATTTCTAAGGCAAATGAAATAAATTGTACTGAAAAATCTCGAAATAAGGCAGCTCAATCTGGGATCGCTGATTTGTCTCAGTATGATGTTCAAATTGAGAAACTGCAAAGTGAGTTGGATGGAATGTTTGGCAGAAAAGAGGGAAAAACTTCCAGCCAAGGATGTTTATGTAGTTCTTGCGAATCCAAAAGTCAGGAATTAAAGCTTCACAAGGGATTTGAGGACGAATTTCAAAGGATTGGATGATATATACGTCTGGCATGCATTATGTGGTGCTTGGGGAGGGGTAATGCCTGGAACAGCTCTTCTTGATTCGAAGATTGTTCTGTGCAAGTTGTCCCCTGGACTTGGAGGAGCCATGGAGGATTTTGCTGTGGTGAATATTGTAGAGGGTTCCATTGGACTTGTCCATCCTGATCAAGCCGGAGAATTCTATGACTTGATGCACTCTTACCTTTCTAAAGTTGGAATTACAGCATTCAAAGTGGATGTGATTCAAGTAAGTTTCTCTTACTTCAGTATCTATAGTTAATTTTTTATGATTGAGAAACTAATATGCCTCTTCAATACAGATACTTGAATATGTGTCCGAAGATTATGGAGGTAGGGTGGAGCTTGCGAAAAGGGCTGTCAAAATCCCTTGCCCAGAATTTCAATGGAATTGGACTGATATCCAGTATGCAACAATGCAATGACTTCTTTTTACTCGGAACTCAGGAGATATCTATGGGAAGAGTTGGTAATTTTCCTTTTTTTTTCCATGTCGCTGTACACTTTAATTTTCAGAAAATAAGAGAAAAATATTTTACAATATGCTTATTAATATAGTGCCTTGCCTTTTAAACTTTCTGAACAGGGGATGACTTCTGGTACCAAGATCCTAATGGTGATCCAATGGGAGTATGTTGGTCACAAGGTGTCCATATGATCCATTGTGCCTATAACAGCATGTGGATGGGTCAGTTTATACAACCAGATTGGGACATGTTTCAATCGGACCATCTGTGCAAAAATTCCATGCTGGATCTCGGGCTATCTGTGAGGGGCCGGTGTATGTGAGTGATTCCGTGGGTAGCCATGATTTTGATCTGTTGAAGAAACTTGTATTCCCTGATGGTACCATTCCAAAATACATACATTTTTCACTCCCAACAAGAGACTGCCTCTTCAAAAATCCCCTCTTTGACAGCAAAACTACCTATCTTTATTAGCTTCAAAAATCAATAATTCTTTTTTTTTTCCTATTTGAATATTGTGCAATCGATTTCAAATTTCAAAGTATGGAGGTGTGGTTGGTGCATTTAACTGCCAAGGTGCTGGACGGGATCCCAAGGAGAAAAGGATAAAGGGCTACTCCCATTGTTACACGCCAATTTCTGGTTCTGTTCATGTGAGTGACATTGAATGGGATCAGAAAAAGGATGCAACTGAAATGGGAAAAGTAGAAGAATATGCAGTATATTTGAGTGAGTCTGATAAACTACTAGTGAAAATGCGGATTTGAGATTTTCAGCTTCGTCCCGACCAAGGTACTTGCTGAGGTTATCCCACATCGGTTGTGGAAGGGGCAGATGGTCAGTTTATAAATGTGAGGGAAAGTCTCACCTCTTGAGCTAGTTTTTGGGATTGAGAAGGTCCAAGACCACTCAATATTGGTATCAGAGCCCAGATTATCAACAAGTCTCGGCACAATAGTCCACGGGAGATATAGGTTTGCTCCTGCCTAGGACCCGATGTGTGAGGGGGAGATTGTTGAGGTTATTCCACATCAGTTGTGGAAGGGGCTGGTCGTCAGTTTATGAGTGTGGGAAAACCTCATCTCTTGAGCTAACTTTTGGGGTTGAGAAGATTGCACCAATCGGACTAACCAATACGTTCAACAGCACAGGAACAATTCAAGGTTTAGTTTACAATGAGACCAGTGTGGAAATTGAAGTGAAGGGAGGATGAAATTTCTTGGCCAATTCCAGTGTGTCGCCTAAGAATTGTTACCTCAATGGTTCTGAAGTTGGATTCTATTGGTCACAAAATGGCAAATTGGGATCGTACCTTCCTTGGATTGAAGAGAGTGGTGGCATTTCTAAGGTGACTTTTGTTTTCCGAGTGCGATCATGTCTCCTAGGGTATGAGACAACTAAAAAAAATACAAATTAAAGAAATACTCGGTGTTTTAGTTATTTTGATTTCTGATGCAATCAAATAGTTTGACCTGGTCAACCGTGTTGGAATCAACTCTTCTATGTAACTAGTTATGGCCGTGTAATGCACGGACTTTGTTATTTTGAAGGTAATATTAACGTTGAATGTGAAGGATTAAAGGGAGATATAAGCAAGGTTAGCAAAATGAGATTAATTGAACAAAATAAATTTACATATGATTTCACACATAGAATACAATTATAAAACATTCAAAGAGTGCGAAGAAATTTAAAAAAACTTAAACAAGATTCATAGAGAATTTATCTTTCGAAATTCTTATGTAAAAAATAAAACAAAGAACAATTATACATCCAGAGAAGTATGGAAAGAATAATTCTTCATCTTTACAATCATCCTCTGTTGCATCTATTTGTTCATCTGATGCTATCACATTTTTAATAGTATGCTTAAGTGCACCATCACCTATCACCTTGTTGTGGTTGCCCTAATCTGTAAAGACGTTGCATAATCATAAAACCATCTATACAATCAATAAAAGCATATTAAAGACAACACAAAAGTGAATTTTCCTGATAAAAGAATTGACGTAGCAAATTTGAATTTGATATTTGTGGGGCAAAACGTGTACAAGAAGTTCTTGTTTGCAATTTGGCCTCCTTTTAGGATAGGAATGTAAAGTCAATATTAATGGCTATATATACAGAAATATTAATCATATATCTTGCACATAACCTCGTACTTGAATACGGTAAATGTAAAATTATTTTTTTAGTAAAAAATCGGCGAGCTTAAATAGGGTAAGTGTAAAATTAAACTTTTATCATAAAAAGAAAATATTTAAAAAGAATTTTAAATGAAATTTTTTTTAAAATATGAATTTTTGGGTTATTTTAATATTTTATTGAGCTAGAAAAAAATAATTCATTTTTAAGTTGTAAGTGCAAAAAAGGAAAAAAAATAATTCATTTTGGAACTTGTACAGTTCGGTCCTCAAAGTCATATTTTGTGCAACTTGGGTCTTTTTTTTACTATTTCGACCATAACTTTCGATACGGTTATTAGAATCGCGCTCATGACCTAAATTCGGAAACATCTATTCGACGCGCACATCGTGGCCATCAAACTCTGCTGTGTGGGAGTCGTTTTCAATACGGTGAGATGAGTGCAAATACGATAATTTCAGTTTTTTCTTCCATAATCAGTAAAACCATTACCAATTCGGTAAGACCCTTGCATATACTGTATGAGCAATGTAAATTCTGCAAGATTGATCAAATTCGGTAAGTTCAATTAAAATTGAAGAATTGTAAATCGGGTAGGTAAGAAGACAATCAGTTAAGCTGAGTGCAATACCGGTATGCTCACTGAAAATATGGTATGTTCAAGAAATTGAACAGCAGCTACTTCATTCAACAACTAAAATCAAATTTGGAAATGCAAAATGGAGGTTTTAAAGACTGATGATGCACGGAGCTTCTTATTATTATAGAGAAGATATTTTGTATAAAATATAATTAGTTTGGAAACATTATTATAAAAAAATGGCTAGCTCCTGCGCCACAGAGCGAAGTATTCATGACGCACGGAGAGTTAAAAAAAAAAAGGTCCGCACAGTGTGTGTGTGTGTGTAAAAATTCGAACAAAAATGATTTAATTTGTACTTTCGTAGAAATTTGTTATAGTTTTAAGTAGGTATTGTAGTTTATTTTTCCCATTTAATTTGTCTAATGATTATTATTTATTAGATTTTTTGTTTTTGGTTGTTCAAATCGCTAGTGTATGTGAATTTAATTATTAGTGTGGTTTAAATCCAATTTGTAATCATCCAACTGAAAGAAATGATAAAAAAACAATCTTAAATGCACTTAAAATATATTATAGTTATTAAGGGGTGGAAATTAAGGTGCAAATACGGCGAGAGTATTGCAAATCCGGTGAGATGAGTGCAAATACGGTAATTTCAGTTTTTTCTTCCATAACCAGTAAAACCATTACCAATCCAGTAAAACCTTTGCATAGACGGTATGAGCAATGTAAATCCGGTAAAATTGATCAAATCCGGTAAGTTCAATTAAAATTAAAGAATTGTAAATTTGGTAGGTAAGAAGACAATCCGGTAAGTTGAGTGCAATACCGATATGCTCACTGAAAATCTGGTATGTTCAAGAAATTGAACAGCAGCTATTTCATTCAACAACTAAAATCAAATTTGGAAATGCAAAATGGAGATTTTAAAGACTGATGATGCACGGGGTTTCTTATTATTATAGAGAATATATTTTGTATAAAATATAATTAGTTTGGAAACATTAGTATAAAAATAAATTTGGCTAGCTTCGTGCTCCACGGAGTGAAGTCTCCGTGACGCACGGAGAGTTAAGAAAAAAAAAATGGTCTGCAGAGAGAGAGAGAGAGAGTGTGTGTGTGTGTGTGTGTGTAAAAATTCGAACAAAAATGATTTAATTTTAACTTTGGAAAAAATTTGTTATAGTTTTAAGTAGGTATTGTAGTTTATTTTTCCCGTTTAATTTGTCTAATGATTATTATTTATTAGATTTTCGGTTTTTCAAATCGCTAGTGTATGTGAAATTTATTTATTAGTGTGGTTTAAATCCAATTTGTAATCATCCAACTGAAAAAAATGGTAAAAAAACAATCTGAAATGCACTTAAAATATATTATAGTTATTAAGGGGTCGAAATTAAGGTGCAAATATGGCGAGTAGCAAATCCGGTGAGATGAGTGCAAATACAGTAATTTCGATTTTTTCTTCCATAACCAGAAAACCATTACGAATCCGGTAAGACTTTTGCATATACAGTATGAGTAATGTAAATCCGATAAGATTGATCAAATCCGGTAAGTTCAATTTAAATTGAACAAATGTAAATCCGGTAGGTAAGAAGACAATCCGGTAAGCTGAGTGCAATACAGGTATGCTCATTGAAAATCTGTGGTAAGACCCTTGCATATACGGTATGAGAAATGTAAATCCGGTAAGATTGATCAAATCCGGTAAGTTCAATTAAAATTGAAAAATTGTAAATTCGGTAGGTAAGAAGACAATCCAGATTGATGACTTAAATCATCGATTTGTACGGGAAAATGACTTAAGTGACAATTTGGAAGGGAAAACACCGGATTTTGGCATTGAAAACGACTCCCACCCAGCAGAGCTTGGTGGCCACGACGTGCACGTCGAATAGAAGTTTCCGAATTGGGGTAACGAGCGGGATTCTGATAACCGTATCGAAAGTTATGGGCGAAATACTAAAAAAGGACCAACATTGCACATAAATATCAGTCACGAACTTCATGTACAAGTGCTAAAAGTTTAAGGACCTAGGATTGCAATTTTGGATGAAATTGATAGAAAAGTCAAATTAGGAGGACTAAAGAGTACAAGATGAAAAATGAAGGACTTCACGCGCAATTAACCCGAGGACTTAACTGCAATAAATGGAAACAAAAAAAATTTTAAACTCTCCGTGTGCCACAGAGTGATGTCTCCGTTGCGCACGGAGCTGTGAATTTTTTTAAATTTTTTTTGTTTTCATTTGTTGCAGTTAAGTCCTCAGGGTAATTGCATGTCAAGTCCTTCAACTTTTAGGTTGTACTTTTAGTCCTCATAATCTGACTTTTCTATCAATGTCATCCTCCAAAAATTCAACCCGAGGGCCTTACACTTTTGGAACTTGTACATTTCGGTCCGTAAAGTCATATTTTGTGCAACTTTGGTCTTTTTTTACTATTTCGACCATAACTTTGGATACGGTTATTAGAATCGTGCTCATGACCTCAATTCGAAAACGTCTGTTCGACGCGCACATCGTGGCCACCAAGATCTGCTGTGTGGGAGTCGTTTCAATGCCAAAATTCGGTATTTTCCCTTCCAAATCGTCACTTTAAGTCAGTTTCTCTTACAAATCGCTGATTGAAGCTATCTTCTTATTTTTGTTCGAATTTTTTGCTTGTTGAAAAATTTTTAGTTTTTAGTTTTTTTTTTTTTTTCTTCACTTCACAAATTTTTTTGTTTTTTGATATTTTGGGTTGAAAAGTGGAAACGTGATTTTTTTTTTTAGAACTTTCATCATTTATCCATTTTCCCCTCCTGTTTGCATTCACATTCATTTAGATTATTATATATATTTTTTCATTCACATTTGTAAAATTCTTAAGTTATTGGATGACTCGATGATTAAATATGCACTTTATGAATTTATATTTATGGTTCAATATTTTCTTAAATGTTAAAACCAAATAAATTAAAACCCCAAAACACTTCATGAACTCTCCCGTGACATGGAGACATCTCTCTGTGGCGCACGAAAAGTACACATTTAA